TATGCTGGCAATTATACTCCAAGCTTATGGCCCCCTGATATACATATGAAGGGTCTCATGATAGGTTTTACTGAACGGTAATAAATGGTGTTTTCCTAACAGCTAGCCCCTCAAAGTCCTGGAAACCTTGCTTCCCAAATACCTTAGAGAGTTACTCTATCCCTAATCCCCTCCCAACCTGAGGGTATATAATCAGTTACCTGTCACAACCCCAGCACAGCTCTTCCTGCCCACGGGTCCTGTCCCTGTGCTTTAATAAAATCACTTTTTACACCAAAGATGTCTTCGAGAATTCTTCCTTGGCCGTCCGCTCTGGACCCCACCATCACCCCAAAACCTCATCATATATATATATATTTACAACAATAACAAAACCAGACAGACTACCATAAACAAACCAAAATACTGAAGAATCCTAGAAGGAGGAGGGGTCACCTACATTAATTCATTGAAGACTATGTGCAACAACTAGACCAGGTGACTATACCTCCCACCACAGAGTCCACCTCAGGTTAAATCAAAGATCCTAGGAATTGGAGCCCAAGGGGTAAGGCAGTGCCCCCAAACAGCTCATGATCTCTACAAACAATCCCCTAAATCCAAAAGATTAGCTACCGAGCCCACCCTTCCCTACAGTACCTCCCATCTCCCCCCAACATAATCAGAAAAATCACATTATAACATATGTGGGAGAAAAAAGATTCTCAAATATTCAGATGAGTAAATAATCAAAAATCACCAATTAGTGAAGAAAAGCAAAACCATAAATGTTAGGCACCAAATTCAGAGAAGAACTAAAATAAAACTCAAGAAGGAATTAATAGAGCAAACAGAAGCAGAAATCTTGCTAAGTATAGTATGTTCTAACAGGATACAATATCCATGAAATTAATCACCTAGAGCTCTCAGAAACTTAAAATTTGGTAACTAAGACTTTAAAAACAGCAAAGTAGGGGTGCCTGGTGATTCAGTCATTTGAGTATCCAACTCTTTATTTCAACTCTAGTCATGATCCCAGGGTCGTGGGATCTAGCCCCATGTCGGGCTCTGCACTAAGCATGGAGCCTGCTTAAAGATTCTCTCTCTGGGGCACCGGAATGGCTCAGTTGGTTGGACATCCGACTTTGGCTCAGGTCATGATCTCATGGTTCATGGGTTCAAGTCCTGCATGGGGCTCTGTGCTGATAGCTTGGAGCCTGGTTTGGATTCTGTGTCTCCTTCTCTCTCTCTGCCACTCACCTGCTTGTGCATGCACTCTCTCTCTCTGTCTCTCAACAAATGAATAAACATTTTTTTTTAAAAATTAAAAAAAAAAAGATTCTCTCTCTCTCTCCCTCTGCCTCTCCCCACCCAGCTCATGCATGTGCTCTCTACCAAAAACAAAAAAAGGCAAATTAAACATATCTAAAGACTGAATTATTAGGGGGAAGCCAAAAAACCTTTTTCCCAAAATTCCCCTCAAAATAAACTAAAAAGTAAAGAGTTTAAGAGAGAAATTTTAAAATATAAAGATTGGGGCGCCTGGATGGCTCAGTTGGTAAAGCGTCTGACTTCGGCTCAGGCCATGATCTCATGGCTTGTTAAGTTCAAGCCCCGTTTGGGGCTCTGTGCTGACAGCTCAGAGCCTGGAACCTGCTTCTGATTCTATGTCTCTCTCTCTGCCCCTTCCCTACTCGTGCTCTGTCTCTCTCTCTCTCTCTAAGAATAAAAAACATTAAAAAAATTTTTTAAATAAAAATATAAAAGATTCAGAATTTCTAAAATCCCCCTATCAAAATTTACAGAGAGAGAGAACAATGACACTAGAAAAGAAGAATTAAGAGAACTTTTCAGAGCTGAAGACAGTGTCCTCAGATTCAAGAGCTCACCAAATGCTAGCAAAAGTGGGATATGATTCCACTTTTAAAAGATAGTCTCTCATGCCTGTACCACTCAAACGGCTTCTAATATGATTTCTCCTCTTTGTCCTTTTCCTATCATCATTCCCCACCCACCACCAAATTTATCTGCCATACAAAAGTCGCAGTGATCCTCTAAAAATGTAAACCACAGGCACCTGGGTGGCTTAGTCGGTTAAGCGTCTGACTTTGGCTCAGGTCATGATCTCATGGTTCATGAGTTTGAGCCCTGTTCAAACTGACAGGTAGGGCTCTGCACTGACAGCATGGAGCCTGCTTGGGATTCTCTCTCTCTCTCTCTCTCTCTCTCTCTCTCTGGCCCCTTCCCCACTTGTGTGCACCCTCTAAATAAATATTTTTTAAAAAGACAAAGATTTGCAAGATAGAGTTAAATTAGTTAGATCTTACAAGCTAGATAGATATTAAAAGTTAGAAACAACAGCACTGGATAACCAATTAGAAGTGAAAAGTAAGGGAGAAAGAACAGTACAGAATATCATCCAAGATTTTGATTCTGAGAACTATACTATTAACCAAAGAAGGAAATAAGCTAATGCTCAGTACTTATGTCATTGTTAATGCTGCTCTCCTACACATAATGCTTTACACATTCCATCATTCTCTACAACTACCCAAAGCCTCTTTATACCTTAAAGTCTACTTTTAAAATCTACCTCTTCTAGAGAATCACTTCCAATTCTGCAGTCCACATTGATACCTTTGGCTTCCTCTTGTCATCAGCATTAACACATCTCCATCAGCAACAAGTCTGTGAGCATTCACCTCAAATATATAAATACGTATAAAACACAAATACGTACTTATATATCGTGTAAAATTTTAAAGTATAAATATGTGTACTATACTAGTCATTATGAAATATATGCAAAGCATAAAATAAATAGAAATAGAAACTCTAATATTCCCTTCTCTTAATAGAATTCTTGCTCATCCCCTCATTTTGGAAACATTGCTCTAATGATTTTATGTGTTCAACCTTTCTCTCATTAAATTAGAGAGTTCTCTATTATGAGAAAAATCACCTTATGCATTTGATTTGTTAATCTGACAATAACAGCCACTTAACTTCAATATCAGACTGAATTGTTACAAATAAATATCCACTAAAGATATTTTAAGGACTAAAATTATTCCTTAGTCTACCACATTCAACTGAATAATTCTAAGAAAGTAGGTATGTGCAGTGATTTAAAATACTACATTATGCTTTGAATGAAGATTTAAAAATTAGATGAAAAATGCATTTACAGTCATTGTAATATAAAATAATACCAAAGGAATTATTTACCACTGAAAAGTACAATTTTGGATGCTCAAAGATTGGTCTAGTCTATAGTGGGAGATTAAGCATTGCCAAAGGAAAGGCATAAATAAGTTTCGAAGTTCAACCAAACATCCTAACAGGGCAAAATTTCTTACAATTATTTTAATTACACAATTTTTCAAACCAAATAATAAAGTTTACAGAATGTTGTGGAGACAGTCTAGAAAACACCTGCAAATTCCTGAGTTAATTTATAAAAATAATTCTTTTCACCAAAATTGGAAAAATGTTTTTATATCTTTATAATTCTCCACATCTGTACATATGAAGATTTGTAAATATGAAATACAGGAGTTAAATTAGGATTAGCTAATTAAAGAGTTATAAATTCACAACTACAGAACTTCTTTCTCTTTTGGCCATGAAATCTATTGAGTATTAACAATACTACGTGACAAAACAGGATAGCATTCTCCTATAGATAGTTCATAATCCAACATGACTAATCAATAAAATGTCAAAATTCAATTAAAATATAACAGACCTTTTCCATTAAGAATTATTAAGGCCTCTAAATCCTAAAATAAGAAAAATAAACTAGAAACATCTCTTAAGCTCCTTCCACTTCTAGCCATCTATGAATTGCATAATGGTACAGAATAGTCTTTCTTAAGGTTTAAATTTTCTGTCTTTGAAAATCAAATTAAAAGTTACAAAATAATTATTATTGATAAATGACAAAGGAGAAACTATATCATAATCTGAAATAGCACTTATATCTGTATACTAGACTAATATTATCACATACACGTTATTCTCTAAATCTTACCGAGTTCACTTGATTTCTGCTGAAGCTTCATGGTAAGTATTTTCAATTGATCTTCACTTTTTTCCAATCTTGTAAAATATTAATTTACATGTAAAACATTCTTTTAATCACAATTCACCTAGTAACTAAAACTGGTGCAATTTAACAATATATCTTTCACAGATTCACCCAATTAAACAATTTTTGAGTACCTACCATGCCATATAGTATAACATTTCAAAATAAGGTATCACTATTATTAATCTATAGTTGTATATTAATTATATCTGCATAAAACCTTAAAGCTTATGGTCACAATTTATCTCTTAGCTATTGATGATAATCAAATTAATGCATCCTAGAACTTTAAAAGAGACTGAATATGTAACTACTGTTACATTGAATTCTGCCTTAGAAACAATATAAGTGTGAGAATTGGGCAATCCACTTAACTCTTCTAACTTTCTGCTTCCTCATCTATAAAACTGAGGTAATTGGGGGCCCCTGGGTGGCTCAGTCAGTTAAGCATCCAACTTCAGCTCAGGTCATATCTCGCTGCTGGTGGGTTTGAGCCCTGCATCGGGTTCTGTGCTGACAGCTTGGAGCCTGGAGCCTGCTTCAGATTCTGTGTCTACCTTTTTCTCTCCCCTCCCCAGTTCTCTCTCTCTTTCCCCCTCTCTCTCTCTCTCTCTCAAAAATAAATACCTAAAAAAAAATTTTTTAACTGAAATAATTGGAACAGATGATACTTAAGCTAACTTACAATTTCAAAATTTGAAAATCACCTATAAGATCAACAAAGAATATATAAGATGAGCTGAAGTAGAAAAACTAGCTTTTCTTCCACCACCATACATAAGCAGTACAGAAGAAATACTACTAGGTTCAGGTCATGAATTCACAGAAACCGTGTTCCTGTCTTTCATCCTACTAGACTTACTAAACCCTAATGCTAATGGGACAAAAATAATAACTTAGGCCTCATAACACAGCTTTAAAAATACACATATAGTGAAAACAGAGTAACTTTTTAATTCAAGCTTTAGACAAACTGTTATTTAGATGAAATTCAAATGAATATCTTATATATAATATTCATTAATTCATTAATTTAATAAAAAAATGTTTTGAGTACCTACCCTATACCAGGCTAGTACTAATTTTATACATCAGAGAGGTTACAGACCCAAGTAAAACAAACCCACAACCTGGGAAGTTATTTCTATGAAGCTAATAATGATCCACAGTTTAATTAAATATGTCCTATCACTGCATCAGCACTTATGAGCTTGTTTATATAGCTGGACTCTGTGGCCAAGTATGCATGGGAACTATCCTAAAGAATACCTGCTATCTTTTCCCAGGACACCTGCCTACCTAATACAAACTTTTAAAATGTATTCCCATTTTATAAATTAAAAAAGAGACTTACTTGGTTACAGATACTATAGGAATTAGAAGTCACTTGACAATGAATAGAAAATACAGTGAATATTGGAAATAAATTGTTTTTATCAGCTAAATAAAAATAGCTTTACCTTTGCTGTTCTGTTGTCAATAATTCTTTCAAGCTGCAGACAGAAGTTTTAAGTTCAGTAACCACAAATGAATGAGCAGCTTTAGCTTTATTAAATTCTTCCATCTGAGTTTCTTTTTCTCCAGTGAGCTGATATATTTTTTTTGTTGCTACCTGTAAATCTTCCTCTAAAGCCTTCTGAGTAATCTAAATGAAATAAAATACAAAACAAAAGCTATAATCCAAGGGCCTTAAGAAAAAAACTGAACTCATCTGCCTTTGCCGCCTCTCCTCCCTCCTTATTATTCTATCACCCTCCTCCATTACCCCACCCTGGCCAATTTCAATGCCCATTCAGTATTCCTACTTCAATTTACCATTCTCCCAAAGCCAACCTATAGTCCCAACCTCCCAATGGAGTCTTCTTAGCCCACAGTGTTTTTCCATTTTTAGAACTACTGTAACAATTTTAGCCTGAATCACTCTGTTGGTATTTAGCAGAGTCTTCTATCTTATAGTTTTGATGCGTTTTTACCCAATGTTTCTAATTAAACTATAAGCATTTTGTAGACTGGGATGAAGTTCCGGGTCCTTGTACACAGTATTAGCATTTTATAAGTATTTACTGACTCATAGTGTGAGGCTTATCACACACGAATCAGTTTTTAAATCATACCACACTTCTTTGCAAAGACATTTTAGTATCTTCTAGTTCTGATGTCAAATGATCCTGCTTCTCATTTGATTCTTTTAAGTTTTCATTCTGTAATTCTAAAAAAGAGAGTTGTGGATTGGTAGTACTTAATAAAAAAATACATACCAAGAAAACCAATTATTTGTTCAACTACTTTTCTTTCCTCCATGAGATACTCCAAAATGAAGGAAAATTATGCAAATATAGATGCACTGATATTGGCCATCATCTACTTTTACTGACTTTTCAAGACTATTAACTCCCAAGTACTCACCAGTAAACATGAGGATGTTTGATGCTACATTTTAATAACAGCTAAACAAAGGAAACAATCTAAATATTCAATAGGAGATAAATTAAATTATGATGGTACATACACACAATGGCATACCATGTAACCACTATAAAAGATAATGGACTTCATTTATTCCAAATTGGAATACATATTCACAGAATATGTATTAAATAAAAAGGGCAGAATAAAAAGGGCAAGTTTAAATGGTATTTATAGAAATAATGCATATGAAAGGAAACAATACAAAAATATTGCAAGTTATTTACCTCTTAATGGTGAAATTATTCAATACTTTATTTTTATCATTGCACATCTTGATTTTTAGAGTTTTCTAAAATATTACATTTATATATTGAAATATTATGAAAAAAGGCTTTTGACTCTATAGCTAATATTTATTAAATACTAAATGTTACGTACTAGTCTATGTGCTTTATATGTGTGCATTCTACTTTTAAACCTCATGGAAAAAATAGGGTGAAAAAAGAAGTTCATGCTCTTCCCTGGATTCAAATTATTCTATGTCCTCTTACTAGCTACCTAAACTTAGGCATGATAATAAAGTAGTCTGTCACTACTTTTCTCAACTGGAGAAAGAGAATAATCATAGTTATTCATATCTTGAAGGACTAAACAAAATAATGCAACTTAAAATGTTTAACCACAGTGTCTAGCATATATAGTCAATTAGTGTTAACGATTAGTATGATAATGATGGTGTAAACTAGAAACTGGGCCTTAAAAATTCATGGTATTTACAATGCAAGCAGACAAATAATGATAACTGCTGATGGGCACTCACTCAGAAATTCTGGAAATATACAGACGGGGAACCTAAGCCAAAAAGGATCAATAAAAGTTAGAGGTAAGGGGAGACAGACATAAAGAGGGAAAGTTCAAGGAAGGCTTCCAGAAAGTGACAGATCAGTTCAAACATCTGAAAGCCAGTAAGAATTAATAAGAGTAGTGGGAGCTAGGAGAGAAAGAAATATCACAGACAGGTCAAAGAGCATGTACAAAGACAAAAATGAAAGAGACAAGATGACACATCTAAATGTCTAAATGAAATGCATTTCAGTAGCATGAAACATAAAGTAAGAGGGAAGAATCATAGCAATTATGGTTAGAAAAATAACAAGGACAAGATAACAGGATTTATATGACTTGTTCAGAGGTAGTTCAGAAGTCATAAAGACTATGAAAAATGATGAAAGATGCTAGACCACAGAATGTTTCAAGTTCATATTTTTTAAAGTTCCACTCTGAAAATCTGTGTAGAAATGAAAAGGTTAGTGGTCCACCTCTGAAAACAAAATGGGAAAAATAGATCTGGAGAGAGGAAATGATTACCAAAGACTATGGTGTCTGCTATGGTACTATTTATTATAGTCTGGTAATAAATGTCTCCTCTGAGAAATCATAATCACAAACTAGTACTTCAGCATGTATGAGAACTGAATGTATGCTGCTTGAATGTCCTAAAAAGCTCCAAGCCGAAACTTAATTTGAAATGTCCTTAAGTTCACCCAGGATTCCAGAACTGCTAATGCAAATTTTCTCTGTAGAAATTTACTTCCAATCCAAGTCTTAAAGAAGTTCCACAGATGAAGTTACATGACCTCAAAATCACAAGAGAAAACAAAGCACCATGAGCAGAGTCAGCATAATAAATGAAAGGCGTACTTGGATCTGCAAAAATTTCAGATGTTAGAATTACTGGCTGTGGATTAAAAAAAAAAGTATTATAACATTCTTTAAAAACTAAAAAAGGAAGATCTCTATAAACTAAATAAGACTTCTAGAAAAGACTTTTTTTTTAAATTTTTTTTTAACGTTTATTTATTTTTGAGACAGAGACAGAGCATGAATGGGGGAGGGTCAGAGAGAGAGAGGGAGACACAGAATCTGAAACAGGCTCCAGGCTCTGAGCTGTCAGCACAGAGCCCGACGCGGGGCTTGAACTCACGAACCGCAAGATCATGACCTGAGCCAAAATTGGACGCTTAACCGACTGAGCCACTCAGGCGCCCCTAGAAATGACATTTATAAAACTGAAACTGAAAATTCCACTGGGGTAATGAGTAAGGTATGTCATTCAAACATTCCTCTAAAAAGGAATAAAAACCCTCTTTTGCCCTGAAAGCATTTGCAGATCCTGGCAAAGTTAGACTTTTGATTTGAAATGAGGTGATGAAAAAATGAGGTCAGGAAAAGAAACATGAAAACCCAAAAAGACTGTATAAGACAAAGAATCCAAGAACCGAGGCACCTGGGTGGCTCAGTCAATTGAGCGTCCCACTTCGGCTCAGGTCATGATCTTGCACTTCATGGGTTCAAGCCCCATGTCAGGCTCTGTGCTGACATCTCAGAGCCTGGAGCCTACTTCAGATTCTGTGTCTCCCTCTCTCTCTCCACCCCTCCCCAGCTTTCCTCGCTCTCCTCTCACTCTCTCAAAAATAAACAAACATTAAAAAAGGAAAGGAATCCAAGAACTAAACCTCTATACAATAAGCTGAGACACTGTTTATGTAAAGGAAGCCAAAGGAAACCAATCCTCAAGCAGATTTGCAGCCCAGGTTCCCATGACCTGAGTGGTCCAAGGAACCCGAAGCCTTGAAACTGAAGCTCGGAGCCCGGAGCCTGGAGCCTGCTTTGGATTCTGTGTCTCATTCTCTCTCTGCCCCTTGTGCTCTCTCTGCCACTTGTGCTCTGTCTCATTCTGTCTCTCAAAAATAAATAATAAATGTAAAAGAAAAAAAAAATTTGAATAGACCCATAACCACTGAAGAAATTAAATCTTACTCAAAAACCTCCCAACAAACAAGACTCCAGGGCCAGACAGCTTTCCAGGGGAATTCTACCAAACATTTAAATAAGAGTTAATACCTATTCTTTTGAAACTGTTCCAAAAAATACAAATGGCAGAAAAACTTCCAAACTCATTCTATAAGACCAGCCACTATCTGGATTCCAAAACTAGATAAAGACCCCCACTAAAAAGGAGAACCACAGCCCAATTTCCCTGATGAACATGGATGCAAAAATTCCCAACAAGATACCAGCAAACCAAATCCAACATTACATTAAAAGAATTATTCACCACGATCAAGTGGGATTTATTCCTGGGATACAGGACTGGTTCAACATCTACAAATCAACCAACATGATACATCACATTAATAAAAAATAAAAAGAACTACATGATCCTCTAAAGAGAGAAAAACCATTTGACAGTATACAGCATCCTTTCTTGATAAAAACCCTCAAGAAAGCAGGGACAAAAAGGAACATACCTCAACATCACAAATGCCATATAGGGAAGACCCACAGCTAATATCATCCTCAATGGGGAAAAACTAAGAGCTTTCCCTCTAAGGTCAAGAACATGACAGAGATGTCCACTCTCACCACTGTTGTTCAAGATGGTGTTGGAAGTCCCGGCCTCAACATTCAGACAACAAAAAGAAATAAAAGGCATTCAAATCCACATGGAAGAAGTCAACTTTTCACTATTCACAGATGACATGATACTCGATATGAAAAACCCAGAAGACTCCACCAAAAAACTGCTACAACTGATACATGAAATCAGCAAAGTCACAGGATATTAAATCAATGTACAGAAATCTGTGGAATTTCTATACACCAATAATGAAGCAGCAGCAAGAGTAATCAAGGAATTGATCCCATTTACAACTGCACTGAAAACTATAAAATACCGAGGAATAAACTTAACCAAAGAGATAAAAGATCTATATGCTGAAAACTACAGAAGACACAAGAAATGAAAAAACATTCCATGCTCATGGATTGGAAGAACAAATATTGTTAAAATGTCAATACTACAGAAAGCAATCTATGTAGTCAATGCAATCCCTATCAAAATAACACCAGCATTCTTCACAGAGCCAGAACAAAGAATTCTAAAATTTGTATGGAACCAGAAAAAACCCTGAATAGCCAAAGTAATGTTAAAAAAGAAAACCAAAGCTGGAGGCATCACAATTCTGGACTTCAAGCTGTATTACAAAGCTGTAATCATCAAGACAGTATGATATTGGCACAAAAACAGACACACGAATCAATGGAACAGAATAGAGAACCCAGAAATAGACCCACAAATGTATAGTCAACTAATCTTTGACAAAGCAGGAAAGACTATCCAGTGGAAAAAAGGGAGTCCCTTCAGCATATGATGTTGGGAAAACTGGACAGTGACATGCAGAATGAACCCGGACCACTGTCTTACACAAAAATAAACTCAAAATGGATGAAAGACCTAAATGTAAGACAGAAAATCATCAAAATCCTAGAGGAGAAAACAGGCAATCTTTTTGACCACGGCCACAGCAACTTATTCTAGACATGTCTCTGGAGGCAAGGGAAACAAAAGCAAAAATAACTATTATATTTCATCAATATAAAAAGTTTCTGCACAGTGAAGGAAACAATCAACAAAACTAAAAGGCAACCAATGGAATGGAAAAAGATATTTGCAATGACATACTGGATAATTGGTTAGTATCCAAAATCTATAAAGAACTTACCAAACTCAATACCCAAAAAACAAATAACCCAGTGAAGAAATGGGCAGAAGACGTGAACTTTTCCAAAGAGGACATCCAGATGGCTAACAGACACATGAAAAGATGCTCAATATCACTCATCATCAGGGAAATACAAATCAAAACCACAATGAGATACCACCTCACACTGGTCAGAATGGCTAATAATAACAACTCAGGAAACAACAGATGTAGAATTACCCTACAACCCAGCAATTGCACTACTAGGTATTTATCTGAAGGATACAAAAATGCTGATTCAAAGGGGCACATACATCCCAATGTTTATAGTAGCTCTATCAACAATAGCTACATTATGGAAAGATCCCAAATGTCCATTGACTGACGAATGGATAAAGAAGATGTGGTATACATAAACAAAGGAAAATTACTCAGCGATCAAAAAAAATGAAATCTTGCCATTTGCAACAACATGGATGGAACTAAAGTGTACTATGCTAACCTAAATGAGTCAGTCAGAGAAAGATAAATATCGTGTGATTTCACTCATCTGTGGAATTTAAGAAACAAAAGAAATGAACATAGGGAAAGGGAAGGAAAAATAAGATAAAAACAGAGAGAGAGACAAACCATAAGAGACTCTTAAAGTACAGAGAACAAACTGAAGGTTGCTGGAGGGGTATTGGATGGGGTGGGGGGATGGACTAAAGGGGGAATGAGCATTAAGGAGGATACTTGCTGGGGTGAGCACTGGGTATTACATGCAAGTGATGAATCACTAAATTCTACTTATGAAATCATTATTACACTATATGTTAACTTGGATTTAAATAAAATTTTAAAAATAATTTAAATATTTTAAAAATAAATTAAAAAGAAAAGCAAATTAGACACAGAAGGTGGGATTAGGTAACAGGTCAATAGAAGATCTCCCAACTGAAACAAAGAGAAAAAATAAAAGATATACCGCATATGGGACACAATGAAAAGTAACTTAAATGAATACATTTCAGTGCTTATGAGTCTGCAGAATCACAGAGAATTAGTTACTTAGTACCAGGAAATTGTTTCCAGTTTAAATGAGAAGATTAAACATACATTCATTCATCCTAACAACTCTTTAGCTATTATGTACACAGCAACGCTAGGCATTGAATTACACAGATACTTAATGAAATACAGCCCTGCCTGCAAGACACCCATAGTCACAGATGAGTAATGGTTAAGCCATTCTTAAGAATAAGGAGTTCACTGGAATTTAGGCAAAATATTTGGAGTGGAGGTAAGAGGCTCATTTGTGGTAGAGGAAGTAGCCAAAAGCATGATGGAGAGGTAAGAAGAACAAAAAACGTATGGGAAGTTAAACTATTTCATACCTGGAGTATACCGATTTAGTAATGACAGTAATGTAAAATGAGTGGGCATCGTTTCACCCAAACTATGTAATCATTTGCCATGTGAAAAAAAGAATTTTTTTTTAAGAGAGAAGTGACAAATATCACAAGATCTATATGATGCTCTGGAAGGTATACAGTATTTCACAAAGTGTATTATGCCTTCCAAGTGCCCTGCTACCTAAACAAGTTTGAAAAATATTCAATAAGGTGGTCTAAACATAACATGACATTCAAGAACCTTCACAATCTGATCCAAACATTCTTTTCCAGTCATGTACCTGAGTTCTCTAAGATATAAACACACAAATCAGTGTTTCAAATATACCCTAACTCTGACACTTCTATGACTTGCACAAGGCATTTCTTCTGCCTACATTCTCCCCTCCAATTCAGTAGAGAAACTTTAATCATCAAAGGTATATTTAGTTTAACAAGCAATTTTCCCTAATACCTTTCCCAATACCTCTAGAGTGTTCCCAGGGTATTCATTCATTCATGAAATATTTATTGAGTATGCTGTGTGCCAAACACTGTTCTAGGCACTTGGAATGCATCGGTAAACAAAAGAAAGAAAATCCTTGTTTTCTTGAAGCATTCTGTTGAAATTCTGAAGAAAGGGACAGTATGGAAAAGTGAAAAGAGCATATGTACACTGAAAAATCTCCCTAAGTGACTCTATTACACCCTCCTCCAAAGATCCAATCCAGGTTGAGAATTACAGCACTAGAAAGCATTACGACAAAACTGTAATGAAAGCCAAAATTTTAAATATAACAAGAGTAATACACAAGACACATTGTTATATTTTCTTATGTAAATTCTTACTTGTCTTTTCCTCTAATCGATTAACTTTATCTCTGGATTCCTCCAGCAGAAATACCAAATTTTTCATTTCATTTTCTTTCTCAGTATTTTGGAGCAATAGTAGTGATACCTAAAATGAAATATTTAAATAATACAATATAAATATGAAAAATTAAATATAATACCTTAGCATTTACCATTACCTACGATTATTTATGTACTTGTTTATATGCTTTTCAACTGGTTGTGCCTGGCATTTAGTACATATTTGCATAATAAACATTTACTAAGTGAATGAACAAACTAATATGATCTACCCAATGATCTACCCGATATTATAATATGCATTTCAAGTTAGTACTTAGAATACACGGATAATGAAATATATATATAACGAAATCTATCGGCTCATTTATTCCATAAATATTATGGAGCACCTACTTCATTCCACAAACCATAATAAGCATTGAGTATACAGAGATAAGGAAACTTACCTTAAAGAAACTCAGAGCCTACACCAGGAGACAACTATACTTGAATATTATTAGTAACAGGACAAAATGTTATATGAATCAGCACACACACACACACACACACACACACACACACACACACAGACCTAAATCAGTCTTAGAGGATGTAAACAAAAATTAATCCTTCTCAGAGTACTGAATTGAGTCTTGATAGACAAATAGAAATTAATCAAACACAGAAATTAACATTCTAACTCATACAAGAACACAAAGGATCAAGAGATCATGTTTTATTTAAAGAGCTGAAAATATTCAGATGGCTAGAGTATACAGTCCATGTGAAGAAAAAGGTAAAAGATAAACTTATAAAGACAAGGGGAAGACTCGCAGATTCAAGATGGCAGAAAGACCTCTCTGCCCTGTATTCAATTCCAAATCACCCAAGAAATAACCAGGAGAACAAAGACAGATTCCATTTCCCATGAAACTATGAGACTTCTATGACCCAAACCACGATATGTAACGAAGGAAAGCAGTTAAAAGGAATGGAAAATGATATAGTATAGAAAAGCAAGGTCAAACCTAAGAGCCTACACAGGGAAGATACTATTGAGAAGCAAAACAATTCAATCCCAAAGGACTCCAGAATGTTTCAAGAATTAGAGGCAACAGACACTGTGGAAGGTAGGTATAAAAAAGACTAAGTAGGGGAGCCTGGGTGGCGCAGTCGGTTGAGCATCGACTTCAGCCAGGTCACGATCTCGCGGTCCGTGAGTTCGAGCCCCGCGTCGGGCTCTGGGCTGATGGCTCAGAGCCTGGAGCCTGTTTCCAATTCTGTGTCTCCCTCTCTCTCTGCCCCTCCCCCGTTCATGCTCTGTCTCTCTCTGTCCCAAAAATAAATAAACATTGAAAAAAAAAAATTTTTTTAAAAGACTAAGTATAAGGAGGCTATTTGGAAGTCTGTATAAAGAGTATGAAAACCTCTCCAGGTCCACTTAATCCTCCTTTTTCGGACTCTCCTCCTTGATAGCCAATGTAGTCAGAGAACTAACCTGACTAAAGATGCAGACGTAGTCATATTGAAAAGAGAATCTCTAAACCTAGGTTTTCTAATCACAGGGAGGGTTGTAATGAAAGGTCAGCCTGTGGAATAGTAAAACTCATCCTGTCCTTCCTACTCTGCCAGCCTCAATCCAAAATGCCATCAGTCAAGTCTGTATCACCAAGCAGGAATTTGGAGAATTAAAAAAAAAAAAAAGTATTATAAATAATGACATTTAGGAGTCCATAGCAAAACACTAGTTGGCCACGCCACCATTTCACAGGGAACCCCACCAATCTATAAGCCCTGCCCATGCACCCAGAACTCCAACAAGCTTTTTTAGCACTTCCTTCTTTTTTTGTGTTCTTTATAATACACACAATTTTAACTTTTAAAAAGGCCTTCTCTCAGAAATCTGGTTTAAAAGTTCAGTTACAATATGGAAAATTATTAAGTCTTTCAAAAGATCTAAGCCTTAACACATAAATTTAACCAGAATTTAAAAATACAAGTATCTTCTCTGTACTTTCAATTAACTTTTGTTACTACTGTTTAAGTAGATATCCTTGTTATCTATCATTACAAGATATCTTATAAAAAATAAAAAAAAACTCTGAAAAAATAGGGGGAGACAGAAAGAAGGGGATTCCTTTCTATAAAACATTTTCCATTGGTAAGCATGACTTGAAACTGATTAAGTTGGCATAATAATTGACATTCTTGTGAATGTCAAAGAACACAGACATTATTTTCACATTTTCCACTATGTGACATTAATAGAAAGAAGCAAAAGAGTATTTTAGTTCCCCCTCCTTGGTGTCATTAATAACAAATACATTTCAAAATAAACTGCAAAATAGGAGTTGAGTGGTCAACGATCATCATCTTTACATTTGATAAAATTTTTATCTAAACAAAAGTTCTCATAAAATATTTTTGCAGCAATGTTACCCACTAATATAAATATTGTAGAAAATTCACTGAGTTTTTAAAAAAGGGTTGCCATTCAGGGCATGCATGTTTGAATCAATGGAAATTAATTCTGCTAGGTAAATGGCTAAGTATTTGGAAATGTATATTTAAAATCTCTCACAGAAATTTATCATGCAGTCTGCAATACAGAGTTCTTTTGAAATTTTAAGTATTTTATGAATTATCAAATACAAAGAATACAAAGAGTTGAGTTTTTTAAAAAATACCTGCTTTTCCTTGTCATGTACTTCCTTCTTATATTCCTCTTCAAGGTGTTGGAATTTTTCATGATCTTCCTTTACTTTAAAAATAAAGCCGATATACTTTAATATCTTAACACAATTACACAATAAAATTTAAAGTTTATGAGACTTTATTTCACCTCCTTATTTATCTAGATACTAAACCTCAAAGTTCTATCAAGTTACAACTGCTATTTTCTTGCTGTTTAATAAAATATTGAATTTAAATAATATCAAAATATAACAAGAAAATTCTATAATTTTGTAACAGCAAATATGTAAAAGCTTATACTTTATGACACTTTTTAAATAACCTCTAAATTTTAAATATATACAGATTTTAAATAACAGATTTTAAATATATACAGAGTTGACCCTTGAACAACAAACATTAGGGACACTGACCCCTACACAGTTGAAAATCCACGTATACTTTTGACTCCCCAAAAACTGAACTACTAATAGCCTACTGGTGACCAGAAGCCTTACCCATAACATGTTTTGTATGTCATATGTATTATATAGACTGTATTCTTACACTAAAGTAAGCTAGAGAAAATGTTAAAAAATTCATAAGAGAAAGTACATTTATAGTACTATGCTGTATTTACTGAAAAAAATCCACAGAAGTGGACCTGCACAGTTCAAATTTGTGTTGTTCAAGGGTCAACTTGTTATTTTATCATGAAACTTTACCAAGAAATGTAAAAATAAGACCAAATCACCCTTCTAAAAAATTAGTACAAACCATAGTAAGTTTGATTTCAGGGAAAATGTAGCTTTGAAGCCAAAAGACTATTTTTAACATATATCAATTCCCTGCCACATTCCACAAGATTTTGAGGGGTTTACAAAACCCTGAGTACGAAATTTAAAAGACCTGAGGAATCAAGCTGAAGCTAGGAAAACATTAAAGGAATCTAATTTTTTATTAGATTTATATATTTTTATTTTTATTTTATTTATTTATTTATTTATATTTTTTATAAACATCAGTAGAGTAATATAAAATTAAATAGGATCCATACATTTAAAATGCATTTCCAATCTGGAATTCTCAGCTTGCCCACGAAGTTCCTCAAAAGCTATTATCATTTTCTGAAATATAAAATTTAACTTTTAAGAATCATACTTACATTTTTTAAATAGGTTCTTCAAACTATGAAAATATTAATAAATTTGTCTCATGATCACTAGACATAAAACCACTCAACTTTGAATAATGAAATTCCCATAACTAGTAATAATTAAATAACTTACTAAAAATGTATTAGAGTGCCTACTAAATTAGCTTCCCAGATGCTTAAATGCACTGGAGACATGTTACATACTACCAAACAGCAGCAAGATGATTTTTGGTATTCTAGTCATTTACTTAATAGCCCATATCAAAGTCTATAATTTTACATATTTTTTTGCTTACTTAATTTCTGTCTTCCCCCCACTAAAGTGTAACCTCTGTGAGGTCTCCCTCCTATTAGAGTCCAAATTAACACTTACGTCATCTAGCAGTGTTAAGTTCATTCAGGATTCAACAAATCCTGATTTGCAGATTTGTACGAATTCATTTATTTGTTCAATAAATAGTTACTGAGTATCTACCATGTGCCAGCCACTGTTTTAGGCACTTAGGATATAGGACAAGGTTCTGATAGGGAAATAATTTATATTCCAGGGTAATGGAAAATACTTACATATACATCTATATCAAATAAATGTCATGTGGCTTTCAGCAAAGTTAAACAAGGTGAGGAGATAGAGAAAAACTGAAAGGAAAGGTATTTTAGATAAAGTAGTAAGGGGGATAATTAAAAAGGAGAATGAAGCTTAAAAGTTCTCATAAAATCTTGGACACAAAAGTTCTAGACAAAGTCAAAGAACCAAGATCATAAAGAGGTTACAAGTTTGAGAAACATAAGAATGACTATACCTGAAAAAGCAAAGTAGAAAACAAGAGGGATAAGAAAGGTAAGCAGGAACCAGACACATTAGTAATACTTTGTATTTTTTTTCAAATTAATGGTTATGTAACATAATGTGATAGTCTCTGACACAGAGTTAATACATATTTGATAAATTAAGTTAAATGGTGTCACTAACATGTAAATTCAAAAGCCACTGAATAACAAAACATTAACACACCTAGTGCAGAATCTTAATCTTATTGGATATAATCCTATGTCAACAAATAATAATCCTTTTATCAAGAAGAGTTACATATATCTTTGTAGCTATCACTCGATTTTGCTTAGAAATGTCTCTATTTAGCAGTGTCTATGTGGCTCAGTCAGTTAAGCGTCCGACTTCAGCTCAGGTCATGATCTCATGGTTCATGGGTTTGAGTCCTACACATCAGGCTCTGCACTAAAAGCTCGGAGCCTGGAGTCTGGTTCAGATTTTGTGTCTCCCTCTCTCTCTCTCTCTGCCCCTTCCCTGCTTGTGTGTGCTCGCTCTCTGCCTCTCTCTCTCTCTCAAAAATAAACGCTTTTTTTAAATGCCTCTGTTTAGAACATTTAACTTTTCACTACGACTTACCTCAATGTTATTATTTAGATCCACATATACTTGCCTAGTTTCTTCCCGTTCATATTCATCTATTAATATAAAATAATTCAGAATTAAATTTTAAAATGATAATGCCAATAATACTCAAAATGCCTCAAGAAAACATTAAAATATTTAAAATTCTGTTAGTGAAATGTATTAGTATATCCTGAGTCTCTGAAAATAGTATCAAATGTACAGAATTGTTGATTGCTACGTTGTACATCTGAAACTAACATAACGTTGTATGTCAACTATACTTCAGTAACAAGTTTTTTTAAATAAGCTACTTCATAGTAGTCTCACAGCAAGGCACAGCAAGGCATAGTAACGCATGATTTTATTTCAACCTCAAAAGTTCTAATTTTCTTTTACCGAATTACTACCCATGGATTTATTCAAACTTTGTAAAATATATTTACAGTTATAGCCTTTAAAATGAGTAGGGATTTAACAATTATTCTATTAAGTACTTTCTCCTGTGTATATTTATGATTCATAGAGTCCACATGAAAACCAAAGCCTACAATCTCTTGCTCTACTTCTGAGGAGGCAGAAAGGAAGATAAACTTGCACTTCATGTCTTGAGGTTTAAGAATAGGTGTGGCTCCAGAGAGAAATCCCCTATAAGTCCTCTACAACCTTTTTATTTTTCTGGGTGTTTTTTTTTTTTTTACCTGAGCAATGATTCCCTCTAGCTATACTGAGGGGAATGAAGGTAGAAGGCAGTACCTTAATTACAAAGCAGTAACAGACAACGTGGTTGTTCCTTTATCATCCCCCCAAATGAGACCAGCATTACATTAAAGCATGTTAAATTTAAAGATGGTAGGGGCGCCTGGGTGGCTCAGTTGGTTAAGCGTCCAACTTCAGCTCAAGTCATGATCTCACAGTCTGTGAGTTTGAGCCCCACATCAGGCTCTGTGCTGACAGCTCAGAGCCTGGAGCCTGTTTCAGATTCTGTGTCTCCCTCTCTCTCTGACCCTCCCCCATTCATGCTCTGTCTCTGTCTCAAAAATAAATAAACGTTAAAAAAAAAAATGTAAAGAGGGTATTAGTCCCAGATTCTCAGTAACCAGCTGCAAACAAGAGAATAGCAGCTGTCAATGGGAACCCAAATAACCAAAAAGAGGGTACATGAACTATCTTTAGAAGAATGCAGGTGTCCTAAACCCCTAAAAAATAATGGAGAAAGCTCTGGACTTACAGCATATGAAACAGGAACTGAACCAATTTTATCTGAATATTAAAGGGCTGGAAATAAAGGGCTGGAAAATTTAAGGAAATAGAGGCAGAATATATCAGCATTTGAACAGAAAGATAGTTCATACTTCTCACTCCATCTATTCTGTTTTATATTCACTACTTACACACTTAGTAACACATCTTCTCTATTCCTCAGAAATGATTTGTGCCAAAGAATTGCATTCTACTGCCAACACCTCCAATTTTCCCATTACCAATACCATTAGTACTTCCAAGATACCATCCAGCCATTCTTCCAATAGAAAAGTACTGGAAATTAAATAAAACTACAGAAAAGAACATAAACGGGTATAGATATACTTTACAGTTGTCAGAAGCAAGACCCTATAGGTAGTACAAAGTAGGGACTCTGGTAGCTGTTGAGTGTTCCAATGTGGTAATGTAGTATTGTAAAAATATAACCCTACATTTTCTGTTTTTCTTCTTGATATTTATCTATCCATTGCTCTATCTCCCCATCCCCCATTTCACTCCCTTCTCTTTACTACCCTCCCTCCCTCTCCCTTCACACTCTACCCCTCCTGCCCCCCCCCACACACACACACATGCTTTGCCCCAGTTTGGGCAACTAGATCTTTCAGCATTTACTGCCTTAAAGAAGAAATGATTCAGGGGTGTCTGGGTGGCTCAGTCGGTTAAGCATCCGACTTTGGCTCAGGTCATGATCTCATAGCTCATGAGTTCACGCCCCGCATCACGCTCTGTGCTGACAGCTCAGAGCCTGGAAGCTGCTCCAGATTCTATGTCTCCCTCTCTCTCTGCCCCTCTCCCACTCACACTCTCTCTCTCTCTATCAAAAATAAACATTTAAAAAATAATTTAGAAAAGAAGAGATGATTCAAACAAAAGCAAAGAAAAACTCTTTGGGTTTCAAAACACCAGATTGGGGATTAAGGGAAGGATTCAGGACATAAACACTAGGTTTTTTTAATATATGAGTCAGAACAAAGATTCTCATCCTCTACGTCAAAGAAATATTTACTAATTTGTGGGAAAAAGCCTTTAGAAGCGGAAGCTAAGAGAGCTTGGTAGGTTCTGGCAGACACTTAAGAAAAGGTTCTGGAGCCCTCTACACTCACCAGACTAAGCCTCAGGGTTGAGGACCACAAAACCCCCAGCGAGTGTGGGCCAACCAAGAGCAGAGTGAGACTATACTTTTTTCTTCAGTAGGGCTCTAGAAAGATGACAAAACCTAAGAAGAAATGCCTGTGAAATATATCTAGGCAGATAGGGCTTTAGACAGCTTCCATTACCCTTGTTGCAACACCCGATGCAGCTGAGCATGGTGGGACAAAGCACAGAGAACCAGCAGATATGAATGGGCCCTGAGGACAGAAATGAGGGAGGACTCAGCAGCAACCTATGTGGACCAGTTACCGAACACCAGTCGAAACGAGAAAAGTCTCCAAGGATAACAAATGTCCTTCTCTACCACATGGTACAATATGGGAACTTCCAAATTTAGATTCAACCCCAGGGGAAGGGGGAAAGTTCCCAAATTTACTAAGATTATGTTTCTTCTATGTTAGCAGCATCAAGGCTTTAAGATATTAAAAATTAAGATTTTTTTATATTTTAAGATATCAAAGTGTTATGCATGTTTCAGTTTATTGATTACAATTATGCAGAATCATAGTTTCTACATTTATCAGAGCATCAGAAAACCAGCCAGAAGGGGCAGAGTTACACAAGGTGAAAACTTTACAAACTGCTCAAGGATCTGCCATACAACTGTAAATATAAAAAGAGGATTCAGCCACTAAACCAGAGGAGGTAAATCCAGACTAAAGTCAGTTTATCACCTAGTTTATTTAGTCTGGATAGTTCTTGCTTTTTTCAATGGCATATATGGTGAGAAAACCCACATGAGGCCTACAAAAAAATACTGTCAAACAAAGGAAAGGTAACAACATGAGAGATGTTAAAAGGAATAACCTATCTCTGAAAACAAAGTGTATCTAGAGAACCCAGATGAAGATTTCAGAAAACTATCCAGTATCCTCAACAGAACCAAGAAAATATGGTCAATGAAAGAGGAAGATACAGTGATAAAAGACAGAACAGGCCACAACAGAAATGCAAGAAATGGGATAAATCAAATAGAAAAATAAATGAGGAGGAAAGGGGCAATGAATTGGATGACACTACAAGAGAATTACAGGTTAGAGGCAGAACAGTACAGAATTGATATTTCAAAAGTCAAACTGGAAATATAAGAAACAAACAGGATGAGGGGGAAAATATTAAAACAATTAGAGAAAAGAAGAACTGAAGGCCAACAAACAAGTATTGCCCAAACAAAAATCAGACAGTGCCCATAGATATCATAAAGCTTTCATGAGCTAAAAAAAAGACCGGTACAGATTGAAATGGTTGTACTGACAAAACTGTGAATTATAATGATCAAACACACACACACACACACACACACACACACACACA